TTTAATGGGCATTTAGGTGGATGGTTGGGCAGGGGGAAGAAAAAGCTCAAAAGACTGGTAACGGCATCAAGACCTGTGTGCAAGCGTTGTACCAGCAGCTCTGAAATTGTTCCTGCTCCTGAGCAGGAGCCACGTTGAGGTCTTCAACCCTACAGAGTGGATGGATATCAATGTAGAGGTGATGGCCATCAGTATTGGGAGGGAGGGGAAGAAAAAACACCCAGGGGTGGGGGATGGATGAGGCTGTTTGCACATCAAATGGCCAAAAAAAATACCAAGAGGCAGCACTCCAGCTCTTCCTCACTCATCCTCCCCAAATTGTTCCTCTGCACGTCTCTTTGGCTTGGCTCCCGTTGCTGATGTCTTCAGCCCACGCTGGTGAAATGCAGAGTGTTTATAAAGCAATTTGGGATTTGGCTTGCTTGGCTGAACACTTCAAAAACTCATTTTGAATAGAGAGTTGCATCTGCAGCAGGATGGGGCCACGGGGCTGGGACTGTCCTGGTGGCTCTGAGTAGCTTGGTCTAGTTGGAGATGTCCCTGCTAATAGCAGGGGGGTTGGACTAGATGACCTTTGGAGGTCCCTTCCAGCCCAGACATCCTATCATTCAATGATTCTAGTGCTGGGGAAGCTGTGAGCTGAGGTCGCACCAAGGGTTGAGGTGAACTTCTCAACACCAGGGACCTCTGGAAGGCCCTTTGCAGCTCCCTGGGCCACTCAGCTGGGCTGCCCCTGCTGCCTCGCAGCTCCGATTGGGATTTGGTGGGGTGCTGGGTCACCAACCTTCCTGCTTCTGCTGCTGGGTGGGATGGAGAGGTCTGGGAGGAGAAGCCAAGGATCCATTTCCGAATACGGAACTTCTGCGGTGAATCAGCCGGGCTCTGTCTGAAGACAGAAATCATCTGCCTTTGTTTCTGGTGTCAAGCGTAGGCGTGTTCTGGCCTCGTGACGTGTGGCTCAATGGCACGGTTCCGTGTAGACCTCTTGAAGTGGAAAGGCAGGAGCTGGTGCTCTTTGTGCCCGCCGCCCCTGCCCAAATGGGGAGCCATTGATGGCAGGCGAGGAACGAGAAGCGGCGAAATTGTTGAGCTCTGCCATGAAAAGGTTCTGCAGGTGGTGGTTGAATGGGCTCAGGTGCTGCATAATAGGTATCAACCAGGCTTTATCTCCACATTGGCAGCTCCTTCCCCAGCAAGAAAGCTCTAACAAATACCGGACGCTGGTTGAATTAATTCAGAGGAGTTATTTATTGAGGGGAGGAGGGAGGCACCTGGGCTGCCTTGGTGGCTTTATGGAGGTGTGAGGAGAGGTGGTGGCATGTCCCACCTCCACGGTGTCTCTACCCCGGTCTTGGTCCCCTCGTGCTGGGTGCATCTGGCGCCTCTTTAATGTGATCTCTCCTCAAATGAAGTGGAGAGATGGGAATCTCAGCCAAAAAGGGCTGCAGGCTCCACTCTTGGGGTTATCTCTTCAGAGAGGCAGAAATTTGAGGATTTTATTTTATATCTTTCTCTAAACAACCCTTTTCCAGGAAAACAGCCCATCTGAACTCACTTCAGGGCTGAAATCAAATCTCCTTCCACCGCTAATCTATTCATTGTATTTGCAAAGTCAGTTCCTGGCTAATGCAGACCACAAGCAACTTTCTGGAGTGGTTTCCTCAGGGGGAAAATAAAGGTTTGCTGGGGAGAGGGGAGGGCTGAGGGAACTCCCATGTGCACAGGCAGCTCATGGGAGGTGGCAGAAAGCTCGCCGCATCACAGAACTTAAAGCTTTTCAGGGTCATTTACCAAATTAGTGCCAAACAAACTTCATCCTGGGAAGGTGGTGGGAAGAAAGGTCGTGTCTATCATTATTTTGCACCCTTTCATTTCGGTCGCAGAAACCCAGGAGTATTCTTTATCACTTATTTCCAGGGAAGAGTTTGAGTGCTTGGATCCTAATCTTCAGACAAATTCGTGTTTGACTGCAGCCAAACTATTGCAGGAGATAGGAAGGAGTTTAGTTAGAGGAAGATCACGTTTGTAATTGTGGGTGCCTCACGTTTGTGCTCAGGGACGTGCTGAGACACCTGAGCAAGGGAAAGCATCACTGAGGAGGTGCTTGCATGGGTATGAAGAGGCTCTAAAATCTCCACAGCTCTCTTGTCTCTGGCAAGGATGTTTCCAACACAACCCGTGACAAAATGCTTTGAAGGATGTTGTCTCCCCAGAAATCTGTGAGATATGGGAATGGTCCAGTTCCTGCTTTGCTTCTTGACCTGTAAGTTGTGTGCTCTGCCCATGGAGGGACATGGAGCTTTTGGATTAGGAGCAGGAGGGTCCTTTGTACCCATGAGCTTCTGAAGAAGCATAGAATCAGAATCACAGACTGGTTTGGGTGGGAAGGGACCTTTCAAGGCCATCTAGTGCAACCCCCTGCAGGGAGCAGGGACATCCCCAACTAGAGCAGGTTGCTCAGCGCCCCGGCCAACCTCACCTGGAATGGTTCCAGGGATGGGGCAGGGACCACCTCTCTGGGCAGCCTGGGCCAGGGGCTCACCACCCTCAGCATCCAAAATCTCTTCCTTCTCTGTAGCCTAATCTCCCTCTTTGAGTTGAAAACCATCCTCCCTTGTCCTGTGCCAACAGGCTCTGCTCAGAAGTCTCTGCCTACCTTTCTGATAGGTCACCTTTAAGTCCTGAAAGGCCACAAGATCTCCTCAGACCTTTCTCCTCTCTAGGCTGAACAACCCCAGCTCTCTCAGCAGAGGTGCTCCAGCCCTGGCATCACCTCCGTGGCCTCCTCTGGCCCCTCTCCAACAGGTCCACATCTCTCCTGGGCTGAGAGCAAACAAGGTTTATTCCCAAAAAATCCTCTCCTGATCCCCCAAAGACCTGTGGAGAGCTCAGCTGTCCCCAGCTTTCTGGGGGTGAACCTCTACCACCCCTGCTCTGCCTCTGTGGGGACGAGGGGGGCATGGTGACTGTGCTGTGGTTTGGGGGGGTCACTGCTGCCATTCTCAATGTCCCTGGGGGGCTGTGCCTCAGTGTACTGCTCCGAGCCAGCCCTGGGGACAAAAAAATTCCAAGTGGAGCTTTACCATGATGTTGCATTCCTCATTTTGAAGGGTTTGCAATCCAGGGGAGCCACTGGGGGCACGGGCATCCCGC